ATTTTAATAATTATTGATGATTTGATTATAATTAGCACAGGTGTATACTGAAGATAGCTATGTGCGCACGCGAAACTGTTATACTCACTGATAAATTATATCTAACTGATGTCTTTCTTTGACTATGCATAGAACTGTATTTTCAACAAGAAGTACGACAGCACCTCACTCCGTGTGTTTTATGAAGGAAGCCTACGTCCTTATGGCAATAATATTTGCAATCGATGGTATTTTACATTTGATGGCGCAGAATGTATAAAACCATCGACTATTGAAGGAGTTTTTTACATTGCATCCGATAAAATCAACCCCCATCATTACCGCCATATTGAAGGTTACTGTAACCAGCTTCCTAAAGGTCATGTACGTGTGGGGTTCTGGATAGGCAAGTGTCAGGGTTATAGTCTCGGAGATGGTTATACTGGTTGGAATTCCGTGTCTCGTATTGTGATTGAAGAAGTACCACCACCTCAAGAGTAAATCAAAGTTCAACTACTACTCAGTCTGAATGGCCTAAGTATAAACTACTACATATACAACTTTGTATCAGTATTATAATTATACAGTATCTGCACTAATATGTAATTAACGAGAAATAATTACAGGTTAAAGTATAAGTGACTATGCATGCATGCCCTGCACCATATATTTAATAATTATTCGCCGAAGACGAGATGATTGTCGGGGAACATTCACCGAGAGGAAGTCGAGGTGAATATTCCCCATTAGTATTTTTGCACAAGTGAACATAACAAATCCTACACGTTGATTGGTCAAATTTGACGTATTAAGCTGTTATATTCACCTACAGGTGAGTATAACAAAACTGAAATTTTCAAAATGGCGGCTAGCCGTTTTGTGGAAGTTACTGATAAAGAAATAAGCGAAATTAAAATAAATTCAGTCCCAAAAACACAAAAGACTTGTGTAAAAATACTAAACAATTATTCGCCTCAGGCTCGGTGATTATCGGGGAATATTCTGATATATTCACCTCGACTTCGTCTCGGCGAATATTTCCTGATAATCACCTCGCCTTCGGCGAATAATTGTTAAATAATCATCGAGCCTGAGGCGAATAAATGTTTTAGTATTTTTACACAAGTCTTTTGTGTTCTTTGGGACTAAATTATATTCATTTTGTGCAAAAATACTAAAATGATTTACTTTTTCCTCACCTTTCTTTACTTTCTGTTATCGATTTAACTTCAAATATATTTCGAATATAGTTACTGTAACTTAGTTACAAGGATACGTTTTTTACTTGGTTACTTGGTCAGTCACGTGATTTCTTCTAATTTTCCTTTAGTGTTTACACCTATATATTATACAATTCTATTTTATCACGATTCTCATGAAGGACACTTAATTCATGATGCTAACTTTACTACATAAAGTTGTAGGTAGAATTTTCGGACGAAGATTTATAACAACCTTAGACCTAACTGGGAGCGCCTGCGAAAAATGCGTCGAATACCGTTGCAATACCACCAAATGTTGTGTGTGTGCGCGCGGGGGGTTTTTCTATCTGGGACAAGATATCGATTATGAGAAAATATGTATAGGTTATTTTGAGGCAACGAGGTGATATGTGATTTATTACACATATCCCCGAGGTGCCTCAAAATAACGTACATATTTTTCACATTGCGAGGTCCCGCGTTAATGAGTCAGAATAGAAATAATTCTTAATGCCATATTGCCTTCGTGATGTTGTTTTTTTCTCATTTTTTGTGCTGCAAAGACATTGCAGGTGAATATTAGAGGAGATAATTAGAGGGAAATTGATTAGAGGGGAATATTGAATTGAATATATTCTCCGATAAGAACAAAGAAAACCGAGCAGGGTGAAAAGTAAGTCAAGATTTTTGGGCGCGCCGTTCCATGTAACTGAGGCTGGGATTACACTATACCGGATTGATTTTCATACCGGATCAATTTTCACACCGAAGCCAAAATCAAGGGCGTTTACACTATGCCGCTTCGCTCTGTCGCCAGCTCGTATCTTTTATCGTTGCCACGGAAACAAATAATAAGTTTTGACCATTTTGGACGTTTTCTCGACAGTACTTGTGAATTATAACTTTGTTTACAAAGCTTGACCACCCGACGTT